AGGACACCTAAGGGTAGTGAAGACAATGCCAAAATCCCTGAGGCAAAATTCCTGCACCCTGTGATAGGAGAGGTGAGGTTAGATGCTGATAATGTTCATGAGAAATGTTCTTATGTAGGTTAATCGCTCTCTCAGAACAAGGGTAAGAGTGTTTTCTATTCCACCTGGCCTTTTTCCAATTTGCTTAATGTAATCAAAGTTGCATCAGAGTGAGCAGAATGATTGCAGCCAACTTAAATGGTTGTTAGATAGGGCTCAGTGGCCACATCTCCTCTGGTAAATAAAACAGGAGCAGGGAGTGAGGTGGAGTGCCAGGCTGTCCTGTGCTGACTGTGCAAACACTGCCTGGTTCTCACTGGGCTCTTGGGCATGGCTTTGGCCAGGGCTGGACAGATTCTACAGCTCAGAGGAGACCAGCTACTTCCCAAGCCAAAGTAAGGACACGACTGCCCCAGGGATGTGTCCTGTCATCCTTGGTGGTACCACTCAAAGTGCATGAGAAATCCCATTTTTCATTGGTTTCACTGAATCCCATTTGTGGACTCCCAGTCCCTGGAGGTCTCCAAGGCCAGGCTGGATGTGGCTCTGAGTAACCTGCAGTACCTTCAGGTACTGAAAGGCCATAATGGTCTGGTGGAAGATGTCCCTGCACACATCAGGTGTTTGGAGCTGGATAGTCCTTAATGTCCAATCCAAACCATTCTATGATTCTGTGAGTATCATTTATGACCTAAATGATAAAATGGAAAAGGGTGACAAAAGTAAATGAATTCCTGTGTTATTTGGATAGAAAGCACATTTCTGCTGGTGGGCAGCAGAGCAGCAGTTTGCCTCAAGAGCTTTACCAGCCCATGTCCTGCTGACTGAGTATAAAGACTGTGTTTGTCCAGCATTGTTCTCAATTTGTTTCCTTGTGGAGCCACTTCTTGCCAGATAAGGAGAGAAACGATGGAAGTCTAAACAAATATGTCTTTGGGAGAACAACCTGATGGCTCAAAGGCCTTGCTACAGCCAGTGTAGCATGTTCTTGGGTGGAGAATTATTATTCATATCTGTCTGAATGTTTTTCCTTCTGTGCCTGTGGCCAAAGATGGGCAACAGGGCTGGGGAAGGGTCTGGAAAACATCTCACCCTGTGAGGAAGAACTGAGGGAGCTGAGGGTGTTTATCTGGAGAAAAGGAGGCTCAGAGGGGACCTCACTGCTCTACACAACTCCCTGACAGGAGGGGCACTGAGATGGGGCTTGGCCCCTTCTGCTGCATCCCAAGCGAGAGGATGAGAGGAAATGATATTGAATTAAACCAGGGAAGTTTCAGTTTAAGTATTAGAAAGAAATTTTCACTGAAAGAGTGATCAGGCATTGGGACAAGTTGCCCAGAGAGCTGGAGTCACCATCTTCAGTGTTCCAGAGGTGTCTGGATGTGCCCCTTGGGGTCCATGGGGTTTTTTGGGGGATAATGGTGGTGATGAGGTGAGAGTGGAACTGGATGATCCTGAAGGACTCTACCAACTTTGATTTTAGGGAGCACTGAGCAGTTGAGTTGCTGCCCAATTTTCAGTCACAAAAGTCACTTAACAAAACACTGCAATTCCATCTCTGATTAGTCTTTAAAGACTTATGAGGTATTGTCTAAATTCATGGGATTTGACAAGGGGTGAAGCTGAAATACCTCATTTAAAATGTTAAAAAAAATCCCAGATGAAATAAGCTAAAAGTGACTCAGGGAATCTGATACATTTTCACTATTCCACAGAGACTTCTTACTTGGAGAAGATGGTTTATTAATGAATATGTGAAATCCTGGGACCACTCCTGTTTTATAGACTCCATTTTCACACGTTCTTTTCACACACAAATGTGTCGTAAACTTAGTTTTACCTCTGCCTTTCAAACCCATAGGAAATGCTTACTGAAAAGAAAGAATAGAGCTCAAGGCCAGAAACCTGTCAGTGTTATAATGAGGAGATGTTCTGTGCTTCCTAACCCTTTCTGTCTCCAAGGGAATGTTTTCTCCTCCAAGGTGAAATTTTGGAGGGCAAGTGCATGTGCATGTGCACACATAAATGCTAATGACAAAGGCTCAGCACAAAATCCTGTTCTTTCCCCCCACCTCCAGCTAAAGCACACTGGATTCACAGGATTCAGAGTCTGCTGCAGTTCATACTTGCCTGGAAAATGGCCACGTTTTAGAACTCGCTGACCCAGAAACGGGAGAAACAAAATCAATCAGTAAGTCAGTGGCAGTGAATCTGACAGATCCCAGTGCTCTGCTGGCATGGGTGATGTTCTCTGCTTGGAGGTTCAGCCTTAATGATAACACTGCTGGGGAGACAAAATGGGAATGAGAATGTTGTATCCCCATGTTCTGCAATCACTGGAAACAGATCTGGGTAAACAAAATTCTCAGTGCTCATTTAAGTGGTTGTGCAAACTTGAAAGATTTGCTAAAGGAGGACAACAGCCCTTGTGCTTAATACCTTAAAGGATCAGTGAAACTAAGTGGTAGCATTCTCAACATCTTAATCCTTTCCTTTTTCTTAATTTTGTAGAGGATGTTTTGGTTTTGCTTTTCTAGGATTGTTTTTTGCCATGCAAGTGATTCAGAAGAGCATATTGTGCAGTATTTATCTAAGAATCAAGGAAGGACTTGGCTTGGAAGGGACCTTTAAAATCATCTTTTTCCACCTCCCTGCCATGGGCAGGGTCACTTTCCCTATCTCAGGTTGCTCCAAGCCCTCTTTAACCTGGCCTTGGACACATCCAGGGATGGTGCAGCACCATCTTCTGGGAAACTGGTTCTAATGCCTCACCACCCTCACAGGAAAGAATTTTTTTCCTAATACCTAATCTAACCCTATTTTCTCTCAGTTTGAAGCCATCCCCCCCTTGTTCTATCACACCAGGACCTTGGAAATTGTCTCTCTCCATCTTTCTTCATGGCTCCCTTCAGGTACTGAAAGGCCATAATGAGGTCAGCCCAAAGCCTTTTCCATTCTGAACAATGGCAGCTGGGCCAGCCTTTCCTGCCTGCAGAGCTGCTCCATCCCTCTGCTCATCCTGGAGCCTCCTCTGGGCTCTCTCCAGCAGCTCCAGCTGCTCCCTGGGCTGTTCTCTGCTTGTTCAGAGAGTAACAGAGCAGGAAGGTTCCCACACCATGTACTTGGGAGCTCATTGAGAAGGTTCCTGGTAGAATTAACCTGAGCTGTGCAATTTCATGCACCTGTACAGCAAAGCATGGCTGGTGCCAAGAAGTCATCATTTGTACCAGGGAAGTTGAGGAACTGCAAGTAGTTAAATTATGTTGCCAAATAAATGCATTAAATGCCAGAAAGAGGAAAACACACCTTTCTAAAAAGTCTGATGTGTGTTTTGATGCAGATAAATGTCCTTCCTAGCTCCCTGAGGAAAATGCTATTGCTGTGTTGGGTGTGAGACTGGGATATATGGCATGTAAAGATCATGCACTTGTGTATGAACTTTTTTATCTCCGTGCCATTTTCTTTTCTTTCTGTCTCTTTACTCTCATTGTTTGCTGCCAGGACTGAATGAGAATTTACCCTGCTCTGATACATGATTTATGGACTTCTCACAGCTTTTTGATTTCTTCCCCCAGTCTTATTTTCTTATGGTAAATTTTGAGGAGCTATGTGTTTTCATCTAAGTTGAGTAAATGTGCACACAAGATAAAGAAATGACTGATGAATTTTGCAGTTTCAGTGTAAAACTATTTCTGACTCAATTGTTGTGAAAATGGAATCATTCTTCTTTCTCCATTTCCCTAACTTGAAAATGTTGACTCTTTTGAAGAGCTGAATCCACCTCTATTTGAATATTTCAACTTTGGGGGAAAAATTAACTGAATTGAGTGCCAATGTAAATGTTTTCACACGAAACAAGGTGGATGCATGTGCAGGGAAAATGCATTAAAGTGACAGTAGGTGACTGAATGCATCAAATGGAATCAGATTTGACGTACACTGAATTACGACAGCAGTACGTTAACTTTTTATATTGTGACTGGAAGGGGAAGAGATCTATCAGTATGCAAATTGACTTCATGCTAAACCAAGCATCTTCTGGTATGCAAAATTAAAGTGTTTGTATGAGGCTTGTAGTCCAATTCAGGTTCAAAGGGTTACTTTGAAGCAACATGTGGTGTATCAGCAGAAATTGTCATGGGCAAATATTGAGCGAACATCTGCTGGTACTGAGTTGCAGGAAAGGTGGGATATGCTGGTCTTGTTTTATGTTTTATGTTTTATGAAGAACCCAAAGAGTAACTTTTGACAAGATAACCAGATGCTCTTTAGAAATATAGCAATATATCTAGAGAGTAAGGTAACTAGGGGGTGTTGGGAGGAGGAGCAGGCTTGGGATGAGCAGCAGAGGTAGCACTTCACACACAACAAAAATAGCTCTGTGTTCACAGAGTGCTGCATAAACTGGCTATGGTCACTCAGCCACATGGGAAATTCTGTGTACAGGGACTTCCTGAGCAGGGAATACAGAGATGGAATCAGGATGGGGTGGAACAAACTCTACATCAAAGGAAGCTGCAGCAGAAATAAGCACAGGAGCTTCTGCACTGTTCTGCCCACCTCTGCAATCACAAAGAAGAAACAGAAATCAAAATGCCCTTTGGAGCTTTTCTGGACTTGCTGATGCTAAAAGACAGAGGTGGGGGAGCCTTCCAGAGTCTGAATGTTTCTATTCTGGGGGTGGCAGGGGAGCATTTCCTCTCAGCTTAGCACTGAGGAAAGCTGGGAAATGTTCTTGTGCTGGCCACAGGAAACATAGCCCACAGCCAGACACCATAACTCTCTTTAACTCAGGGATGTTATTTTTGGACCTGTCATGGTATCTGTCTCTTCTTGTTCTTTACCATACCTAATGACAGGAAAATGGCCACAGGGTGCCCTGCTCACATGTTTTTCAGTGTCAATGCAGTGCCCTCTGTGCTCTGGAAGCCTCTCTGTGCCAACAGGAGGATGTTACTCACCTGTGGTTTATTTTGCAGCCATAGGTGAGGGGGGAAAAATGTGGTTTCAGTTTGATACTGCTCCTTCAGCTGGCCTTCATTCTGGCTTCAGAATTCACTTTGTGTAGAGAAAGGAGGACAGATGCATCCAGCTGTGATTTTTAGATGCCTCTTTTTTAAGATGCCTCTTACAGTGCTCAGGATTCTGGGGGGAAGGCGTTTTCTCCTGCTTCAGTTCTAGGACAGAGAAGAGTTGTTATTCCATTTGGTTCCTTTTTATGCAGTCAGGAATGCCTGTCTTCCCTGGCAATAACGATTTGTTTTTTTGGCACCTGCTTTGGCAGGCAGCCAGATTACTTTCCTATTGCCAGCTTAGAATCTCTGCCTTAGTGTGCATCACATTCAGGTATCAGGTTTGTTTTCTGGAATCCTTCCTTCCTTCCTTCCTTCCTTCCTTCCTTCCTTCCTTCCTTCCTTCCTTCCTTCCTTCCTTCCTTCCTGCCTTCCCTCCTGCCTTCCTGCCTTCCTTCCTGCCTTCCTGCCTGCCTGCCTTCCTTCCTTCCCTTATTCTATTCTATTCTATTCTATTCTATTCTATTCTATTCTATTCTATTCTAT